CATTTAGCTATTTTATCCAAATGGGCAAGCAAAAGACAGCAACCAAAACCGGCACACGAAAGTGTATGGTTAGTGGTTGTAACAACTGAATTGAACAAATAAACCGTCCCTTTAAAAGTTGGCTATCATGAACAATAATCCTTTCTTGTGAACGGCTTCTGGTGTTTGCGTCCTGTTTCGTCAGGCGAGATGAAAATACAAACACGTTGACTACAATCGAAGTATATGAAGATTTTCATTGCTTTTACCCCAAAGCTCTCAATAAATTATTAATGTTCATGCATTGTATGACGACGGTAGATGCTGTTTATCGAATCGGATTGATCCATATCCCAATCAAACTCCAACTGGGGAGATCATAGAGCAAGCGGACAAATGGATAGATTCATTGGAAAAATCAAGACGTGGAGAACAAGCTTCCTTTCAATGTTTTATCTACTGGCCAATTACAACACATAGAACTCAGCGAAACAACGCAGCGAGACAGTCAAATCAGGTACATGAGGGACTGAGAGGTGAATGTGCCAATACTGACCGCGTAATTGGTGGTTATCCCTTGCAGAGTGTGAGACTATTCGACTGAAGTGTTAGGTGGGGACACTTTGGACATAAGACCATGGAAGGGTAAGGAATTTGACAAACTGTTTCTCTGCACATAACGGAGGGTTGTTTATTCTAATTGCTATTGCCTCTGCTGTCGATGACAATCGGGTCTTGACGTGCTTAGAACTGATTCCCTTCATTAAATTAAAGAATGGAACAATTCGCACATATCCATGTTATGATTCGTCTCGGACAGAAGTGTAGCGACCGCACTCGCACATGCTATTATCGGTCTCTGACTGAACCAAACTGTGTGGTGTTCTTTCATTCGATTGGACGGGCGTCTGGTAGTTCAGCCCACGTAACTTATGCTACAGGAGCCAGTAAACTGTTAGACACAAAGAGAGGTCATCTCCATGGGTAGCCTGTCCCTCACCTTGGAGATCAGCAACTTCCATTTGTCTCCAATGTGGTGTCATTGTCCAAGACAGCTAAGTTATTCGTTAAACTGCTCCAGGGCGTCGTCCACCGCTGTAATACATTTTGGTTTGCTAAAGCGAGTATTTGGCAAATTTGAACCTACGCTGTTTCCACGGTTGTTATCAGCATAGAGTATGCAATTCAAGCGTGGCTGCAACGCGATCAGAAGTTTCTGGAACGTTCACGAAGAATGGCCATCAAAATGCTCAAGGGACTGCATTCCAAGACATATTGAAAGACTGGAATCTTGTGACTGTACTCCACGCAGCATCGCCGAATTCGAGGGGACTTGATTTTGGTGTATCAAGTAATGCAGAACCTCAATCACTCATGTTGTTCACTCTTTGCCTTGTCGCACAACACTCATCTGAGGGGGCACTCATTTGAATTGGTGCTCCCAAAATGCTGACTAGAATGCCGGAGCCATTCATTCGCCCTCAGAGTGTGCACCACCTGGAATTCTGTACCACTTCATGTTGTTTCTGCGCCCACAATTGACTCCTTCAAGCAGAAACTGGTTGAAGCCTTGACAAGTCTGGACTAAGCTCCATTTACGTTGCATCGGAACATCACAACGAGACTGCACCTTGACGTGGTGTGATGGCTTATGCACCTCTGTGACCTAGCGCGCCACCCAGGATGGCTTTTATCAAGCCGCAGATCTAATCGTGCCTGAAAGGTCGTAGGGTAGAGGTCAGACGAATCCCGGTCTCCTAGTCCTCCAGGTTGGGGGTTCGATTCAAGTTAGCGTCTCAGTCGGTAAAACCGTAGAGGGGTAATCAATCCAAGTAAATGGGCCTCCACTTCGCTTCACCCGCTGCCCTGCGGTCAGGTTCTTGTTAGAACTAAAGGCTTTGGACGAGCACCGTAATCGTTCTCCTGCTTAGTGGCTAGACATCCTAGCATTATCCGTCCATCAAACTCCAATGCGCACACAAACAAAAATAATTCCACACTACATCGGTCGTCGCGCAGCATAATCAGTACCGCGCTGCCCATTGCATCAAGCGGGGTGGGTAGTGATAAGTGGGTTACTGCTCAGATATGTTTAACTCCTTGTCTTCCGTTCCCAACCCTCTCCCTTTACCCCTTCTTCCAACCCATAATATTCCCTCAGACAACTTCTTCGTCGCTTGCCAAAGTTCGGCTCCAGGTAGTCCGGTAAATATTTTACCACAAAATAGATTGCATATTCTGAGGCTTTCAATGTGAGGACATTGATTCAGGTAGGTCAACAAGCATGTGTAGCACGTAAAATGGACTCTTTGGGGATTGATATCTGCTGCGTATCGGAGACACGAATCCAGGATCCTAGTACTATAAGCCACTTAGGTGCACCGGGGTTGTCTTCGAGGTTCCTCCTCTGCACGTCAGGTGATGACGAAGCCCGTTCAGTAGACCAGCGTGGCGTGGGCATTGTACTCAATAACACAGCCGATTGGATCCCGGTCAACAGACGCCTATGTGTGATGCGACTCCAAGGGTCCTGCAGCGTCCGAAAGGGAACCAACACCAAAAGGTGTCTGTTCATCATTTCAACGTATGCTCCGACGAAATGCAGTTCTGACGCACAAAAGGACGAGTCTTATGATAAACTCACCGAACTCATTCGGTTGAGCTGAAGCTCCGATAGAGTTGTTCTCGCAGGTGATTTTAGCGTTCAAGTTGGAGAAGCGAGTGCATCGGAAGCTTGACTAGGCGGTCGTTGTGCTCTGTCCTTCCAGAGAACAGAAAATGGCTATCGACTTCTTCAGTTCTGCGCAGATCAGCATCTGTTCCTATCCAGCACCAACTTCCGACACAACTCTCAACGGACAGCAACATGGCGCTCAAATTCAACTGGTTCGCTAACTCAGATCAACCACATCCCAGTAAGCTACCGTTGGCGTGGCTCAATACAAAATTGCACGTCCTATTGGACCACCTACTTTGAATCTGGTCATGCATCAGTTTTTGATGCAGTTCACTCTCCAACTCACTGGTCGCAGAAAACCCTACCAAACGCGATCGACAGATCATCGTTTATCTGACCCGGCCGTTCATGACCGTTTTGAATCAGAACTAGAGCAAGAGCTAAACGCGCTGCGAGGTGGTAGTGCAGATGAGTGATGGGATCAGATAAACCGAGCACTGCACCCCGCGGCGAAGGTTGCTTGTGGATCTGAAGTGGTAGCCCTCCAGAAGCACGGGATATCTGATGGAGAAGAAGCGGCAAATCCCAACCACCCGGGATCAAGTCAGGGTTAGGTGGCGTCTGCAACGGCAAATCAAGAAGAGCCTCAAGAAAGACCGCGAGAACTGGTGGGCAACCATAGCTAGTGAAATGGAAGTTGTAGATGCATCAGGGAACATTCAAAGACTGTTCCAACTGATACGCAACACGGGAGGTTGGCGAACCACAGTTAGTAAAACAATCTGCGACAAAAGTGGGCAAGCTATCCACAGTATGGAACAACGGCTTGACCGGTGGGCAGAGTACTTCAACGAACAGTTCAGCGGGCCAGGTGCTAACCAGACTATATCGTCTGTTGTAGTTGCGGCTCCATGGGAAGTGTCATGTGAACCTCCTACTGCAGCAGAAGTTCAATCTTGCATCCAAGCCCTGAAGAAAGGAAAAGCAGCAGAACCGGGCGGACTTCCCCTCCCCCCCATTCTTTTCAAGATGGAGGGCGGTGACCTTGTAGACTCCATTACTGATGTAATGCGTAGTATCTGGTCACACGAGCGTATTTCCGCATCTTGGAGCGAATCACTGATTGTTCCAATTTTTAAGAAGGGATGTCGCAACGACTGCGCAAAACCACCGTGGAATAAGCTTGATCCTAATCGTTACCAAGTTACTAGCTAGCCTCCATCATACTTTGACGTCTAACACAGTTTGGGGAGACAAATAGCCAAGAAGAACAATCGGGATTTCGACCAGGCCGCGAGTGTATCAATCAAATCTTCACTCTGCGTCAATTCATCGAGCTACAT